TTCAATATAGTTCACTTCTCTCCTTCATTCAGTATCTTCAAGGTGTATGAAAGTTGGGAAACAGAGATTATAAAATAATAGCTCCTCCAGTAGCCACTCACAGTTAGGAAATTCTTAAAGCGATTGGATATTTATTTTAGTGAGCATCACAGAGCACTAAAACAAATAAAAACACAGTAGGTGTAAGTAACTGAAGGAGACATTTTGAACCATTGATGACTGGTGAATCAAGCTTCAGAAATTTAAATTATTCTTTGTGTGTGTGTAAATATATACATATATTTTACTCTCCAGATATAGTGTAAGCCAGACTGCAGGCATTTCCCTTTCATCTTCAGTATATTTAATAACTTTGTGAAATGCATTGAACGCTATGATAGAGAGATGCCATAAAATAAAAGTGCCTGGATGATTCCTACTTGCCTTGCTCACGCAATTAGGTAGTGCCTGCATCAGTAAATCAAACAATGCTTTTTCCAGCACTAAAGGACCTGATTTCTCAGCTGTCATCTCCAACAACAAAATGAGTACACTGTTTCTCTTCTGAAAAGCGCTCAAAACAAAAAACAAAAAACACTAACTGAAAGATGCCACCTTTTTCTTGTTAGATGCAGCAAACAGGGCATACGAGTGGTGGAGGACAGGTAGGTTACTTGCCAGTTTGGATCAATTTTCACAGAAGCTAGGTAGATTCCCAATTCTGGCAGTAAGTCTCAGAATAATTTAAGGCTCAAGTTCACTTTTGTGCCAATTAAAAAAAGAAGTGTCTAAAATGGATTCATAAATATATATATATATTAAAAAGCATTAAATATAATCAAATGCAGCTAAGTTAAATCCAACAGTTGGTTTAAAAATAAAACAATACATCTACTAACACAAGTTTCTCCCAACAGAAAAGAAAGAAGAAAAAGTCCATATTTGATTCCAGTCACATATTGTATTGCTTAGCTACTGGGATGAGGAATGTAGCATACAAATCTAATTAGAACAAGTTTATTTCTCTTGCTAATTCTTTGCTTTACTGCAGGCTTTCACAAGGAAGAATATTCACTAAAATCTTTCAGTATGGAGTAAATGATATTTAAAGGAAGATAGCTATTTGAAATATGCTCATGTTTCAGATAGTCGCATAAATACAGGTGTTTGCTTAAAATGTCTTACTGCCACCTTCCTGAAACATAGGCTTAGCACCGTCATGCTGCAAAGGCACTGCAGACAAGATACGCTGTAGCCTACACCTGTCCTAGTTCATTCAATTGTAGTGGGGAATATTCCTGCACACACGGGCTCCATCCCCTCCGCTGTTTCACGGCAGAGCAGTCTTGGTACGTCTTTAGCTCAGGCCAACTGCTTAGGCTGCTGCCCATTTAAAAACAGCACCAAGAAAATCATGACCTTAATCATCACTCAGAGCAGCTAGAATACATCTGGCCTTCGGGATGGTTGCTCACTCGTAAACATAATAACCATTGCAAATCACTACAATAGCCTCTAATCACTGTGCTTGATGCATTCCTCTGAATATGGTCCGTCTACAAATTTCCAAAGAAGTGTGACTAACCTCTGTTGATAATAGGAAGGGAGACAGACAAGTTGTTTGAAAAGTCAAAAACACGTGTCGAACAAGCTTAAAATTTCATATTATCGAGTTTTGTAATGTACTGTAGAGATAGATCTTTTTGGAAAAACTTCCTTCAAATTTACCGAGAAAGAGGTTTTTTGTCATCTTAAAAAACTTCATGTTATTAACTCCAGTGCAAAATGGATTAAAAATAAAGAGGAAATGTAATTAACTTGGTTTCAATTATAATATAAATAAACTACTGTCTCACTGTTTCATCTCAACTGTTTTCTATTTTTCATTTTTCTAGATTATAAGTATTTGTTGAAAGTTTCCTGGCTCTTCCATTATTTTCAATCATATTGGACAATATGCCAATCACTAAATTAACTAAATAATTTATGCATGAAACAACCCCTCCCACCCCAAACTGACAACTTATATAAAATAATGAACAGGAGTGGTCAATAAATATTTTCCCACTGGGACAATGAATACTTTCCTCTACAACATCATACAAACATGACATTTTAAAAGACATATCAGAGTCGCCATCTTAGCTATATAAAAATATTGTATAGTTCTGACATAATTCATTTTTAAAAAATGGATTTATGAGTCATACATGGCATGAAATAGGATCTTTAAAATCTGAAATCTGTACATCTTTATTTGGCGTAATATGACTAGATGTTACTTAATACAATGGCATTTGTATGCATACAGCTTTTTTATTTCATAATGGCAGCTTATCTGTTCAGTGCATGGCCAAGAAGTATACTAACTGGTAAATAGATATTTACAATATTTTTTATCCTGTGCATGGTAAATTGGTCCTAATTAAGCAGGATTAGAGTGGTATTGATGCTTGCATATGAAATAAAAAAAAAAACCCTCACCACTAAGGCCTAATTTACATTCTTATTATTCACCACATGTAGAAATAAAATAGCTTTGGCATGATAAATGAGGATTCTTTGTCAACAATCCAATGTCTACAATGCATTTGGAACTGGTTTCTTTGCTCAAATTGATAACAAATATCTGATCTGAAGAAAGCACTCTCTTTCATTTTTTTGACATGCTATGCTAGTTCACAGTGAATTATATTGTATTAGATCATGAGCCAAGCAGCAGGAGAGGAGGGAGTTGGGGAGTGGAGAGGATGTGTGACATAATTTAAAAAGTGCTTTAAAATTGCTGGAAGTACAGAGGAAACAGGTGTACATCTGGTGCCCCTGTTGAGTGTTGTAACTTGGGATAAAAAAGGGCATAGATCTTGACCCTTGCCATCTTCATTGCTTATTTATAACTTTCAGAAACACATTGTTACGTAGACAGGCTGTAACAAGATACAGATGCGCAGCAGCAGCAGCTGCGTGGCTGGCAAACCCTAAAAGCTCAGTCACAGAGAAATTCTTAGCATATGAAGCACCATTATAAGCAAAGAACAAAAAATACCATCCCTGACAGCCCCACCTTCCTCCAACACGCACTAGACTAGGCAGTTAATACTTAATAAAGAATGATAAAAAAGTACTACCCAGCACTTAATAATTTACCACTGGTTTATTATGCTGCTAGATGATATGACATTTTTGTAATTTATTTTTCTTTAAAGTCATGCAATGAAACACTGCATTATAAATCTAAGTTGTTTTCTTACTGCAGAAAGGAAGAAAAAAGAGCAGGATAAAGAGTCTGAACAGAAGTTTAAAGGAGGTAGCAATAAGGAAGACTAACAGAAATAGTTGAGGAAACTGATAGAACACCCATCCATTTGTAGAGATCCCAGTTTATTCATAGTTTAAAGGATGGAAAAATTAATCTTTTTCAGATGCTAGTGCAGACACTTTTCAGAAATTCAGAGTATGATAGCCTGCAATAAGTGTGCTAGGCATAACCAGGGTGGGGGTGGGATCTGATGAGGTTATAACAGTCTCTCTTTGTCTAGACTCTTCTGATTACATCCCATTTGCCTTCCCTTCTTACTGACAAACTTGACGTCCAAATTATGGTAATGTTATCACATTCTTTCTCTAACCGTTTATATTTAAATTTCCTTATCTCAGGATGAATTTAGAGAAATCCAGTTGAAAATAAGTTTTAACTTGTAAAGTTTTTCTTCCTCCAGTCAGTTTCTGAGACCCTCAGTTGCTGGTCACTTGTTATTCTTATGCCCTTATTTGCACGCACTCTTCTTCACAAAATTATTTAACAAAAGTTAGATAAATGTATAAAAACTATACCTTAAGTGCTATTTGGTATGAGGCAAAAGAGGGATAGATAGGAACTTCAAGACCCAAAGCTAAATTTAAATGTTTTGTTCTTTTCATCTAGTAGAGATGAGTTGTTTAACACACTGGCAGGTGATGCACACCCAGTCTAGTGCACGTTTATTGAGGACACAGAGGTGGTCTTAAGACATCAGAGTCTGATTATGCTTTTCTGTTGCTTAAAGCTTGGGTTTCTGAATGGTATAAAAGTGGAAATTTCCAAACAGCTTGAAAAATACACTGATCTACTGTAATAACTTTCTGCAAAATTAGACAGAAAAATTTAAAAAAAATCTTCTTGCACTGCAGTGTGTGCCTTAAAAACAAAAGCCATTTCACTAGATATATAAAGTACTACTTTTGGCTTACATTCTAAGTCTATGTGACCGAAGCGTCCTATGAGACTGAAGTCCTCCTCACAGAAAATGTTTTACTACTTCTGTTGTGACAGAATGTCACAATCTTCTCTGTGGAAAAGAAACTGATTAATCAATGTTTAAATTTGATTCAGGAAATATTTTCAAATGGACCTAAGCGATTGAGGGACCTTAGACCTACTTTTGATGTAATTTTGCACTCACACTCCACAGGTATAGAGGTTTGAAGGCATATAGGGACTTAATCTCTTTCCAAAACTAAGGTTAAATCAACGCCCCTGGAGAGGTGTTAAGGAAATTTGCATTACACTCTAGTTTTTGCAGACAGAACATGCAAGGTCACGTGCCTGGCAAGCAGCACATCTTATCCGACCTTACCTTTGTGTTGGAGGGCCACTACCCCCTCCCGTCCTGCTGTGATCTCAAGCCCAAGGCATGGCAGAGTGCGACTCCCTTATCTTGAGCTCCAGCTAAGCACTAACAGCTGCCAGCACCCAGGGCTGACCAGCAGGAACTAGACGGTACTGGCTGCAAGTGGTGAGGCCAGAAAAGGACATGAGAACAGCAAAAGGGGTATATTTTCCCCTATGCAGCATGAAATCAGCACAAAGGTTTTTTTCCCTGTGTGACATGAGATCAGCAAAAAGGTATCTTTCCCACACCTGGCATGACACCAGCAAAAAAGTATACCTCCGCATCAAACATTGTATGACCGTGAGTCAAACTCCATGCCCACAAATAGCACCGCAGCCTACAGACCATGGAGCTCTCCTGCATGGCAGCTAACTGCACAGTGGTGAATCTCCCCTTGAGCTCAGATGTCTCTCAAGTTTACTCGTCAAGGTTGAGAGACTCTGTACCTGCGACAGATGCTCGGTAAGTGACTAATAGCATGCTGAGACTTTGCAAACTTTGCTAAGTGTATCTAGGATTGATTGTGAACTGTTGACCAAGTCTGGAACTGGGTAAGAGTTCAGAAAGCAAGGGAGTCCACCCTGAACCCCATGACTCAACGAGAGGGTCTCCTTGATGATTTTGTCTGACCCTGTCCTCTACGCAGTAAATACCCAAGTGAACCTTGCCATCAAATCTCATTAAACTACTGTCTATTTTAACTTTGATCTTTGTTAAACTACTATCTTATATCAATAAAATATATTGCTGCTTCTCTCTTACGAGTGAAGTGTTTCTCTCCGCGACAGCCTTAGCCCTATTTTTTGTACAAAGCTGAAGAAATGCAAAGCGACCTGTTTAATCCAGCCAGCAGTACAAATGTTGTTCAAATGTAACACCAGAAGAGATGCAAAATCAATTAAAGGATAATTATAAGATATACCATTTAAGGCTGGCACGGGAGTATCTCCTTCTGTAACATAGCAAAGGGATTGGCAAAACTAAGAATCATGGATAGATCTGATTAGTTATGTAAAATAAAGTATTGAATAAGTAAAAACTTACCTTTGTGTAAAAGTTGTGACAGGAAGCTACTCAGGGTCCTTCTTGTGTGCCCAGCCAAGAGGCATCTTATTGCTAGCAATAAACTTAGCAACTTAGAAATCTGACTCCTACTGCTTATTACCAGTGCTCACGAATGAACAAAAGAGAAAAGATAGTTTTAACAGAGGTAAATAACCAAAACCGTAGCTGAGGAGAAATGAGAATGCCAGTAAACAACGCTACACTCATCCGACAGGAAGATAAAACAGAAAAGAATTTTTTCCTTGCTAACACATTACCTCCTTTCATTTTAAGCTGTGGGAGAAGAATACCTCAGACATCTTGCTTTTTCAGACTACAGAAAGAAAAGAATGCTGGGAGAAGAGAGTGGAGAAAAAAACAATTTTTTTGCAAAATGGAAATGTCTATTTTTCAGTTTGATTTCGAAAATCCAAACTTTTTCTCTTTAACTGCTAACATTTAGCATAACATGAATTTTCTATATTTCAGCCAGCTATACCAATCTTTCAGGAGACTTTCCAGAATACCCCCCAAAGTGCAAATGATGTCAAAAAAAACATTTTGCTAGAGTATGCAGATCTGACATACATCAAATAATCGTAAGCTAGAAACATATTTTCACTGAAATGAGAAAATCTGTCAGCAATGTAAGCAAATCAAAAACCTGATTTAGGTCTAGTTAGCTTTAACTGTGCAAGATCAAGCTCTACACTGGGTTGAATTCCTTTGGATATCTGATTTTTACTCATGTGTTATTTACTTTAATTCTAAAGTTATGCTTTTTTTTTTTCTCTTAACCTGCTGCTTTCTCTAGCTTTCTCTTGTGTTGTGGATTGCGTCAGATATTTTTGCTCCACTGATCTATGTTTATTGCATCTTTCTCGAGCTCCTCCATCTTCTTAACTCACTATTAATCATCGTACATTTTCAAGCATTGATGGCCTAATCTGTACTTCTTTTTTTCTGCACTCTTAATGAATATTGTTGTTCTCATTTCTCCTAAAAATAAGTAATAAACAGCACTGCAACACTGAATGTGTTGCACTGAAGTGAAATGCAGGCTGTGAAGCATGTGCTTTTACATGTAACATAAATGCATCTAAAAAACAACAACATTAGAAATTGGTAGCTGTATATTGTTAATCAGTTGTGACTGTTATTATCTCATTGACTCCTTGAGCTCTTCCACCTGATTTGGTCTACTCTGTGCCCTATAACCATCTCAAGAATAGCCCTAATCTTTATTCTTAGGTTCTGTTTCTATTGCCAGTCTACTACTATTCAAGGCCCAAACCAATACATTGTCAGTTGTTCTTTATCCAAGAGAAGAGAGAGAGATTTCCTTAAATTATTGTTTTGATTGGATAACTCTGTTTATTGTGCTTCTGTGCGGCACTGAATTCAGCAGTGGTGTTCTTTGACACATAACATACAGTATGTATGAATACTAAGTATGTATGACTATCACTATAAATTCAGTAAATGAATGAATAGCAAATGTATTTATAATCTGAGCTTTATGTCTTGAAATCATGGGGTCAAAGCTCTCTGTCATCATCTTTCGGTGTTCAGAGAGATCTATGACTATATAAATGGTTTGTATGCTCAAACCCTTTGCTTCATACTAGCAAACCTCAATACAGAATTTCTAGAGTTACTGGAACTACACAGAGATTCCAGTTTAGGGGAGAGCAAAAGAAGGGAAAAGACTTCCCTCCTTGGGCATGAAAGGCATTCCTCATACAAGGAAGTTCAAGTCCCCCCTAGGCTATAAATCATCCCCACTGAGGTATTTATCATAGCCTTTTTGTTTTCATTTACTGTTATATACATCTTTCTGCATGTTAGTCTGAAGAGGAATTGATAGTATTTCTTTTCATTGTGTCTGCTAGCCTCTTCTATCATTGCAGTTCTCCATGAATAATTCACATAATCTAATATACATCCTTTTAATTCTGTAACACCAGGACATTTAATTTACGTACAAAATAAGAAAGGAGATTCCTTTTATCAGATGAATGAATTAGCTTTGAATGGAAAACAATCTTACTGGTTAGCGGAGCATCACTGGCACTACCCCTTCATGAAGAAATGGCAAAGGTTTTTTGCTGTTGATGTTGGAGATTTTAGGGCATGAGGGGCGTTCTTTTTTTTCCTCTGGACTATTCCATAATAATTTCTAATGAATAATTCAAATGTCATGGGAGACCAAAGCTGCTAGAGACTCACTTTTTCATTATGAATTGTAGATTTTCTTCTCGTCTTCTGTTAGTAATACTACACTGAAAGTTTGTACCCAAGAAATCTAATGAATGTGACTTGAAGCATTTTTAATTCTTAATCCTCCACCAAAGGTGCAATGAAATTGCCTTCGGTTGTGTGCACAGACTTTCTCATGAGACATAAAATTAAAAAGATTTCTTCTGTTTCTCAGAGAGAATTTATTCTACTTCAGACGTGAATAGCAGCACCAAGGACTTTCCTTCTTCCTCTGCAAAAAATAGCTTAACTTTCTTCATGTGATTGCATAATTGTGAAGATGATTAACTTCAGCAAGAGAAGAGCATTAATCCCAGAACATGAATAGCATACTTTGATGTTGTTCATGGCCAAAATGCAACACCCATTCTTTTAAATATCACAGAAAAAAGTCTGCTTTGGGGAGCATTTGAAATTTTTTTCTGTCATTGATTATAACGGGTATGATAAGATTTTAATGAGCTTTAAACTTAATTTAATTTATTTTACTTTATGTAAATAACTCCAAGTCTTTTGTTCTAGAAAATCAAAGTTGTTTGCATACCCTCATCTTCCCTTAATCTCACAAATAAACATTTTCATGAGAATTCGTGCTCTCCTCCCAATAAGTGTTTATATCTGAAAGAAATTCCAGAGAAGTGTCCCAATCTTTACACATATCGGAGGGAGCAGTGCATCACAAGCTATAAATTGCCATAATGCACTGCAAATTTGCACCAGCTGAGGACTTGGTGTAAAATAAATTCATGTTTATCTGGCAGCTTAAGCTTAAGTTTTCTGCTAGTAATAAGGGACTGATTGAAATTTTAACAATGATATCTTGCTTCTTTACTGAATAAATGACTATAGCAATGAGATTTGGATGAAGACCCACCCTTCTGCCTGTGTATTCGAGTTATCGCAAAATAAGAGAGATGGCCAAAATCATAGCTACTGTGTTCCTGGCAGATGGACTTCTTAGGGTTTGATGGTGTCTATAGTATCAGCTGAATCTTTGTTCCTGCAAAAACGGTTCATGAGCTTAGATCCAAAGATTTCAGGTGTGTAGCTGATGCCTCCTCCCTCATCCAGGAACATAATAGTACAAGGAGAAGTAAACGTATGCAGCCAAAACTCAATGCACAAATTATCTCAGAGGATATAATGGAGATTCATTGTAACATAATTACTTCACGCAGTTTTAAATGCCCCACAGCAAGGAGAATTATAACCATACACCAATAGCAACTGTTATGAGGACAACAGTAAGGCTAGGATGATAACTTTTCTTTGATTTAGGTCGCAACTGAAGTGGTACAGAAGTAAGCCTTCTCTGGCTGGTATGTACACTGGAAATCATCTTACATACTGAGCGCTATATATGACTGTAAAGATCTTCAAGACTTGAAGAGCTATGAGTCTTTTCAGGACTCACATCAACATTAGAATCAGTTCTTAGCATTGTACAGCATAATATTTTTAATGGGAATTCTAATATTATGAATCTTTCTAAGATCTCATAATTAAGCACAAACTTGTGGGCGTTTATACATATCCATATGATTCTGTTGCTGCAGTATTGGTATAAGATGAAGTCAACTAAAATTAAACCATACAAAAGTGGTAAATACAAGAAGAAAATCAAGAACCCTGCCTCCAGGTCTGCTACTCTAATGGCTGTATGAGAATGTATTATAACTGATTACATTTATGAAAAGAAGGCATCAGGCTTGACTCATTTCAGCACGTCCTGCCATCCTGTATGCCAGAAAATTACGGCTCATATGAACAAGAAGCCTTGCCTGTATTATGCATGAGGAGAAGGATGCACACAAAGGATTTCTGGGATAATCTGGAAGATTATGTGACTACAGTGTTTGCTGAAACCTTTCTTAAAGATGTATTTACTTTATACACTAATTAATAGTTCTGTACATTAAATGCAAATGTAAATCAAATGAAATTTTTGTGGGTACCAGCACAACTCAAAGTTTTACACTTTCTGTTTTGAAAAGAATTTAGACAATAAGCTCCTATGGGGGTGCGTCATTGATCTATTATAGGGAACGGTGTGATGTCCATTTAAATGGCTGGAACTAGGAATCTGATCCTTCATCTATTCCCTGTTCCTAAAAATAATGATACTTATGTGCTGTAGCATCTAATCTTTGAATTCAGCT